ATAACATGAGAATGAATCTCATTGGTTCTTGCTGAAGCTCAAACGTGCTGCGTAACACAAGAATTAACCTCATTGGTTGTTGCTGAAGCTCAAACGTGCTGCGTAACACGAGAATGAACCTCATTGGTTTTTGCTGAAGCTCAAACATGCTGCGTAACACAAGAATGAACCTCATTGGTTGTTGCTGAAGCTCAAACGTGCTGCGTAACACGAGAATGAACCTCGTTGGTTCTTGCTGAAGCTCAAACGTGCTGCGTAACACAAGAATGAACCTCATTGGTTGTTGCGGAAGCTCAAACGTGCTGCGTAACAAAAGAATTAACCTCATTGGTTCTTGCCGAAGCTCAAACGTGCTGCGTAACACGAGAATGAACCTCATTGGTTTTTGCTGAAGCTCAAACATGCTGCGTAACAAAAGAATGAACCTCATTGGTTCTTGCTGAAGCTCAAACGTGCTGCGTAACACGAGAATGAATCTCATTGGTTCTTGCTGAAGCTCAAATGTGCTGTATAACACGAGAAGGAATCTCATTGGTTCTTGCTGAAGCTCAAACATGATGCCTAACACGAGAATTAACCTCATTGGTTCTTGATGAAGCTCAAACGTGTTGCATAACATGAGAATGAATCTCATTGGTTCTTGCTGAAGCTCAAACGTGCTGCGTAACACAAGAATTAACCTCATTGGTTGTTGCTGAAGCTCAAACGTGTTGCATAACATGAGAATGAATCTCATTGGTTCTTGCTGAAGCTCAAACGTGCTGCGTAACACGAGAATGAACCTCATTGGTTCTTGCTGAAGCTCAAACGTGCTGTATAACAAGAGAATGAATCTCATTGGTTCTTGCTGAAGCTCAAACATGATGCGTAACACAAGAATTAACCTCATTGGTTCTTGATGAAGCTCAAACGTGTTGCATAACATGAGAATGAATCTCATTGGTTCTTGCTGAAGCTCAAACGTGCTGCGTAACACAAGAATGAACCTCATTGGTTGTTGCTGAAGCTCAAACGTGCTGTATAACACGAGAATGAATCTCATTGGTTCTTGCGGAAGCTCAAACGTGCTGCGTAACACAAGAATGAATCTCATTGGTTCTTGCTGAAGATCAAACGTGCTGCGTAACACGAGAATGAACCTCATTGGTTCTTGCTGAAACTCAAACGAGCTGTGTAACACGAGAATGAATCTCATTGGTTGTTGCTGAAGCTCGAACATGATGCGTAACACGAGAATTAACCTTATTGGTTCTTGATGAAGCTCAAACGTGCAGCGTAACACGAGAATGAATCTCATTGGTTCTTGCTGAAGCTCAAAGTCGCTGCGTAACACGAGAATGAACCTAATTGGTTCTTGCTGAAGCTCAAACGTGCTGTGTAACACGAGAATGAATCTTATTGGTTGTTGCTGAAGCTCAAACATGATGTGTAACACAAGAATTAACCTCATTGGTTCTTGCTGAAGCTCAAAAGTGCTGCGTAACACAAGGATGAATCTCATTGTTTCTTGCTGAAGCTCAAAGTCGCTGCGTAACACGAGAATTAACCTAATTGGTTCTTGCTGAAGCTCAAACGTGCTGTGTAACACGAGAATGAATCTTATTGGTTGTTGCTGAAGCTCAAACATGATGTGTAACACGAGAATTAACCTCATTGGTTCTTACTGAAGCTCAAACGTGCTGCGTAACATGAGAATGAACCTCATTGGTTCTTGCTGAAGCTCAAACGTGCTGCGTAACACGAGAATGAACCTCATTGGTTCTTGCTGAAGCTCAAACGTGCTGCGTAACATGAGAATGAACCTCATTGGTTCTTGCAGAAGCTCAAACGTGCTGCGTAACACAAGAATGAACCTCATTGGTTCTTGATGAAGCTCAAAAGTGCTGCGTAACATGAGAATGAATCTCATTGGTTCTTGGTGAAGCTCAAAAGTGCTCCGTAACTCAAGAATGAACCTTATTGGTTCTTGCTGAAGCTCAAACGTGCTGTGTAAAATGAGAATGAATCTCATTGGTTCTTGCAGAAGCTCAAACATGATGCGTAACACGAGAATGAACCTCATTGGTCCTTGCTGAAGCTCAAACTCGCTTCGTAACATGAGAATGAACCTCATTGGTTCTTGCTGAAGATCAAAAGTGCTGCATAACATGAGAATGAACCTCATTGGTTCTTGCTGAAGCTCCAACTTGCTGCGTAACACGAGAGTGAACCTCATTGGTTCTTGCTGAAGCTCCAACTCGCTGCGTAACACAAGAATGAACCTCATTGGTTCTTGCTGAAGCTCAAATCACTGCGTAACATGAGAATGAACCTCATTGGTTCTTGCTGAAGATCAAAAGTGCTGCATAACATGAGAATGAACCTCATTGGTTCTTGCTGAAGCTCAAACTCGCTGCGTAACACGAGAATGAATCTCATTGGTTCTTGATGAAGCTCAAAAGTGCTGCGTAACATGAGAATGAATCTCATTGGTTCTTGCAGAAGCTCAAACATGATGCATAACACGAAAATGAACCTCATTGGTTCTTGCATGTCAAGCGAACATGCTGAGCTTCTGTTTACCACAACTGATGTGTAAGTTGATGAATGTTTAGTGCATAAAAGCCGAAATTCAATCTGTTCATCATATAAAGTGATTGAGTCTCTTCAGAAAATTTGGACTAAACCTCTAATTCATATGGATTAGTTTTAGGATCTCTTTGTTAACTTTTTCAAGCGTCAAAGTGGCAGTTGCATAGCTGTCAATGGAGGGAAAGAAATCTCTCAGATTTCATCAAAAAGATCTTCATTTGTGTTCTGAAGATGAACGAAAGTCATATGGGTTTGGAACGACATGAGGGTGAGTAATAAATGACAGGATTTAATTTTTTGGGTGAACTTACCCTTTAATAGAATTATATGTACTTATATAATTATAAATTTAGTTTTAAAGTCACATCTGTGCAGGATTCATACACATAGATGTGAAAGGCAAAAGGTCAGAACATTCACACATTTTTTGCTTCGCATTTGTACGGCCTCATGGCAACAAGACTGTCCTTAACCGCTCAGTGTGGACAAGTGAGGCATGGTTAGATGAAACTTTGCCCTGTTAGCAGGAAATGATCCTCTCAATAGCACAATGTGAATCTATCCTGAGCCACCTGTCCTTTACTTGTTCTCTTCATGCTTTATCCAATCCTGTTCTTTATTCTTCACCCATCTCCCTGGTTATGGCGATGGAAGGATTGAGTTATTCTGCTGCATGCAGCAAAGCGCTTTATTTCTCTTGCTTGCTTGTTTTTAGCACATTTTGTCAGTCATTGGGAACTTCAGATTCCGAAAACAATTTAGAAACATCTAGCAATTTGAAAAAAAACTCTCTGTAAGAAAGTTAGCCTTCTACAAAGTTATTTTATTTTACATGAACACTTTAAACATTTGTAAGGATTTACAGTTTGGAAGTTGCAAGGGCTCTATTGTGTTTTTCTATTACTCTCAAATGTGCAAGTTGGACATGGTGTTTGTATCTATTAGGTGGCTGTGAATTGAACGAAGAAACTACAACATATATGCTATGTTTCTTGGAATTAATAGATGGAATCTTTTGAAGTTTTAGATGGATTCTAAAGCTTTCCTTAAATTTTATTTCTATAACCCATTCCGGTATATGTATGGCTTCATGTGTATTAATTTTTGTAACATGCAGAAGGTTTGCAGCTTGATAACCAGCAAATGACTTACACAGAACAATTGTCAATAATTTAAACAACAAAAGAGTGTATTTTTATTTTTTTCATGTTTTTAAAAGAAGTCTTTTCTGCTCTTAAGGCTTTTGTAACATTATAACTGTCTTCACTGTCACTTTTGATCAATGTAATGCATCCGTGCTCAAATAAAAGTATTAATTTCTTTCATCTCTTTAAAAAAAAAAAACGTACTGACCCCAAACTTTTGAACTGTAGTGTTTAATGTTACAAAAGCGTTCATCAAAGAATCCTAGAAAAAATTGTACACAACTGTTTTCAACATTTATAATTATTAAATGTTTCTTGAGCAGCAAATCAGCATATTATATTAGAATGGTTTCTGAAGGATCATGTGACACTGAAAACTGGAGTAATGATGCTGAAAATTCAGCTTTATCGTTGTAGGAATAAATCACATTTTAAAATGTATTCAAATAGAAAACAGTTCTTTTAAATTGTAAAAATATTTCACAATATTGCTGTTTTTGCTGTATTTTTGATTAAATAAATGCAACCTTGGTGAGCAGAAGAGACTTCTTTCAAAAACAAAAAATTGTACCGATCTAAAACTTCTGAAGTTGTCATTGGCACAGTTGCTAACTTGTTTTTAGTTGGTCTTCCATTTGTACCACCTGTGTTATTGCCTTTACATTTTACAGCAACAAAGAGATTTGAATAGTTTAGGAAGGTACATTTAAATGTAATGATAGTACAATTTTTATGATGATGTCCTGGCAATCACAGCTGTGTGTGTGTGTGTGTGTGTGTGTGTGTGTGTGTGTGTGTGTGTGTGTGTGTGTGTGTGTGTGTGTGTGTGTGTGTGTGTGTGTGTGTGTGTGATAGTAATACCAGTAATTTTCTTTTAACCTTGTGAGGACATTGTTTGATCTCAGGAGAAAGAAAAAACGCTTATAGATCACACTAAATTATTGTTGTTGTTGTTGTTGTTATTTGAAGTAAAGATACAGACAGTTTTCTGTGGTCAAGTACAACACCTTGTGCAAGATTCCAATTTCATAATTTGAGAAATAATTAAAAAAATATAAGGATTAATAAACCATCTGCCAGGGATTGTGTTTTGAATTTGCAAAATTGCCATGGTGAATATTGAATAAACAGTCCACCTAGTTTTGATAATCACCTAAGATCACTCGTTACATCCCTGTCTCATTCACACACACACACACACGTTGTCCTACAGCGTCCTCTAGCGCACGGACCAGCTCAAGGCAGGTGCGAAACTTCTTGACCATGCGCTAAAAAAAATCCTTGTCTTTAAATGTAGGCTTCATCTGACGTAGGCTTTACGCCTCTCTCTGGCTCCCCGTGGACACGAAACAATTGGCGTTTTAATCCAGCTATCTGTGCCTCCGGCTGCCCCGTAACGCATGCAACATGCACAGCGCGCATTACCTCATCAGCGGCCGTTCTGTCACTCATCACTGCAGCTGAACTTTCTCTCATTTCAAGAGCGAGACATGTGCACATTACCCTAACGTCCTTGCGCTGCGCATCTCGAGCTAAATATGCTAAAGCGAGTACTCACTAGTCTACTACCGGCAAAGAAGCAGCAGGATGCACTCAAGATGCCTCGCTCGAGACTGTCTTCCTTTGCCCTCTGCTATTTTTGATGCTCCGAACACTGTATAGCCACCCGAGGGGCTCACACTACAGTCAACCTCTGTTGTGATCCTGTGCTCGTTTGCGTGGATTGACGAGGGACCCACACCAACTCAAGTCAATGAGGATTCTGAGGCTCTTCCTGAAGAAAGGAGCGCATATGCTGCAGTGTCTCTGTGGACAACGATCGGAGCCGACCACAACCACCAGCGGTGAGACATTTAGCTGTGCATGCTCTCAGTTGAGCGATGAAAAACGCTCTCATTGGCCGCTGGCGCTGGTGAGCACATCTTCCGTGTCTGCGGTATACTATGCGCTCCCACTCCACGCATTTGTGCTATAACTTGTTTTGTGAGGGGCTCATGCGACTTTCTTGCGACCACTCATGTCATTCCATCTCACATCTTATGACCACGAAACGCATCTCCATCATGGTCATGAGCAGAAGCGCTTTAGTGGCGAAATCCGTGTCAAGGACATTTCTTTATTGGTACCGGGAACAAAGAAAGCAGGGTGAATGTAGGAAACTATTGATGCATATGCAGCAAATGCGGTCAGCGAGGCTATACGGCAGACAGACAGACAGACACGTGCCGAGCTCGTTTGAGGTGAGATGAGCTTTCTAGAGGAAAGTACGCGAGTGTCCTCCAGGACAGTGAACTTCAGCACCCCGGACAGCGACTCGATTCCGCATCGCAACTCTGGCTCATCTGAGAGTACCACCTCCTCCAGAGAGGAGCCCGTGCATCTCACTGCACATTTCAGACCACCAGGAGGCCCGTGCTTGTAATCCTTTTATGTAACGTGTGTTACAAGTTTCATGAGAGTATTTCATAATCAGCCCATTTGACCTTTCTCTTTCTTTATGGAAGACAAATGGATATGACACCCTTATAGTCTCACTTTCTCATTCACTTTCATTGTATGAAGTACTGAAAGTGAATGGTCACTGAGGAACTCATCCGGTCCAACATCTTCCATTGTGTTCCACTCAAGAAATACGATTTTTGGAAAGACATTAGAATGAGCGAATTATTTTGCGATCGCTTTAAAGGGATAGCTCACCCAAAAAATTAAATTAGCCCATGATGTATTCACCCTCAAGTCATCCTAGCTGTATATGACATTCTTCTTTCAGACGAATACAATTGGAGTTATATTTAAAAATGTCCTGGCTCTTCCAAGCTTTATAATGGCAGTGAATGGCTGTTTCTGTTTTGAAGTCCATAAAAGTGCATCTATCCACAAAAGGAAGCTAGTTATTTTACTTTATAAAGTTTTAAATATTAATATTTTTCTTACACAAAATGATCGCTTCGCTTCAGAAGGCCTTTATTAACCGCGCGGAGCACTTTTATCATGGATAGATGCACTTTTATGGACTTCAAAACAGAAACAGCCATTCACTGCCATTTTAAAGCTTGGAAGAGCCAGAATATTTTTTTTTATATTACTCCGATTGTATTCGTATGAAAGAAGAATGTTACATACACCTAGGATGACTTGAGGGTGAGTAAATCCTGGGCTGATTTTCATTTTTGGGTGAACTATCCATTTAAGGACTATACAACATTCTAATTCTGTGCAGGTACTAATTAAAATAAGAAATAAAAAGTTGCATTAATCAGAGATGACTATTTTAACTGCTTGTAAACAAATGGGAAATTCCACTCAAACTAATATACACAGCATTTACAAATGTATGCAGCCACAGAGAGTGCGCTTAACTATGTTATGCTGCTGCTGCTGTGCAATCCTTCACTTCATTAGATTTGACAAGCTTTTGCTGACCTATACACCTTTTCTGTTTATCCATTCTTTTGCAGGCAACTCAATTGTGCACAGAAGATCAGTTCTATTCAGCTGTGCTGCAACACATTTTTTTTTACTTTGAATGAATTGGTGTTTTTTTTGTGTTTTTTTGTAGTTAATCTATTAACACAGTAAAATCTAAAGGGATAGTTCGCCCAAAAATTGTAATTCTGTCATTATTTACATCATTGACTTCCATAGTATGGAAAAAAATACTATGGAAGTCAATGGGGCCCATCAACTGTTTGGTTACCAACATTCTTCAAAATATCAGCAGAAGAAAGAAATTCATACAGGTTTGGAACAACTTGAGGGTGAGTAAATGATGACAGAATTTTCATTTTTGGGTGAACTATCCCTTTAAATGCACAAATTTGATTTCAGAAATCAAGTCAAGTCAAGTCATCTTCATTTATATAGCGCTTTTAACAATGGAGATTGTTTCAAAGCAGCTTTACAGAGATAAACATACAATTTACGGTAACAGAGATTGTTTTGGCTTTATAGCGATTTTTGAATAGTGTTATTTCCAGCGAAAGTTGGTTTTGATTGATTCACTTCCCGCAAAATTATCATTTGTTATTACATTAGGGGTCACTAAGACGACGGCGTTCTCTCTAAACAGACTTTAAACGCGAACCTGTGACCGGATGGCGTTCACATGCGCATTCAAAATTGATTCTATAGTTAAATTCGTTTGAATATGTGCGCGCAGGTTTGTAATTTCCCAACAAACCATGCCTAAACAAACTACTTGTCTTGCCTATAAATTTAATGTCTCTTGTAGTAAAAAAACATAAGTGTAAAAAATGGTAGATTTAAGCAACAGTGCTCATCTCACTCACATCAAACCCCAATCAAACCACACTAGAAACACAAACACTGAGCTCAGAGTAAATATGCAATATAATGAAATAATATAACAATTTTATAAATTTATTTTAAAATGCAGTATTATATTAATTTAAAAAAGCTACAATAAATGTAAGAAGTTAAAGTTAAACCAAATGTTTCGTTGTCCCTCCCACATTAAAATGTGTTTGTCACAGCGGAGAAGAAAATAAAGCTGGATCTATTTGCTCCAGAATACTTTATTAACACACTCAAAAAGAAACAAATCACTCTCAAAAAACACGGACATCCAACTTTAAAGGCACAAATACGGAACAAAGACTAAAAAAAAACTCAATATATATTGACTCAAACCAATCAATTAAACAATAAACAGGTGCAGTGTCGTAATCAAACAATAAGTCCCAAGGAAACAAATACAAACAATGGAAATCGATCAGGAAACAGAAAAATCAACTCAAAAGTCAAATCAAAGTCAAACCAAACATAGCAATTATTTTAAAGCCATGCGATGTATTTTGTTATGTACTATACACGACACGTGTTATAATAGGCCAGTTTTATCAAATGTGTTACAACGGGTCTCTTCTCCATTGCTCTGTCCACTCCGGCCCCTTGAATGTAGATCACTGCTCTACTGGCCTGTGGACTAGTCAAGTCAAGTCACCTTTCATTTTATAGCGCTTTTTACAATACAGATTGTTTTAAAGCAGCTTTACAGAGATAACAGGAAAATAATGCAACAAAGTTTGTTTCTGCTGTACTGCAGATCCAGAAGAAAATACCGTCACAGTCCAGCTTAAGTAAGTTCAGTGATCAAGTTCATTTTTGTTGTAAAAAAGTTATTAATTTAGTTCATTTTTATATATACTGTAGCCGCTCTGGAGAAAACAGTGATGTCATCGTCCAGCTCAGTTCAGTTCTTATATAATGGTGTCAAGGCAGGCAGATCAATAATATTGCTGAATATTAAATGTCCCTCGACTAAGCAAGCCAAAAGCCAAATGCGACAAAGGCGACGGTGGCATGGAACCAAAACTCCATCAGGGCAGAGTGGGGGGGTCAGTTCTCCTCTGGCCAACAAACGAACAGTGATTATGACAGCATCACAGGTCAGAAGTCAGATTGGATTGGAACATTCAGAATATTTATCCAGTTCCATCTGTTGTCCTTAATAATCATACAGAACAGAATGAAAAGTCAAATGCCAAAATTTAATTAAAATGTTAACTGTTAAAAAAAAAAAAAAAAACTACAACAATGGCACTGCAACAAACAGTGATTCTCAACCCTGGTACTGGAGTCCCTCCAGCACTGCACAGTTTAGGAGTGAATTCCGTGAAGAGAACTTCGGGAAAGGGGCCATTTGTTCCAGACGAAAGTGAACACCTGAGGGCCCCTCCACAAGCCGTTAGTGAAGGGTACATGGGACTCACTCCGAAGGGAAGAGCTCTTGAAGTAGGGACTTATACGTGTGTGTGTGTGTGTTCCCGATCTGTTCTTAACTTTATAAGTTAAGCATTAAACACATATAGCATTAAGGGTGACATATTCATACTTAAAGCAAAAAAAAAAAAAAGATTTCAGGGGGCCTTTAATATGAAATGCATTGTGAAAATGTTAAATACATCTCAACAAAACAAAACAACTTAAATTATATTTATATGTTAACTCGCCATATCTAGATTTAAAATGAAGACTTGTCACTCTGGGTCAGGTGACCATTAACAATTAAATTACTTCCTCGAAGTGACCATTGCAAGTTGCCTTCGCTAACGGACTTGTGGAAGAGCCTTTTGTGAAGGGATTCAGTTGATCACTTTCGTTTGGAACGCCCATATAAATGGCGTCCCCTTCCCAAAGTGGGTGCAAGAATTCGGCCCATGTGTTTATGGTCATGTGACCCAGTGTGGAGAGCCCTCGCGATTCATTTTGAAGCCAGATAGCAGGAGAGTTCGAGTTAAGGTATAAACAGAACAATTCAAGTTGTTTTGTTCTGTTTGTGATTTTTACACACATTTATGTAATACATTTCATATGAAGTTTAAATAGGTTTCATAGACAAGAAATTAGTTTAACAGTAGATATACTGTATTAGGTGGTGTTGACAGCAGTGTCCAAACAAGAAATGGCCAATTTTAAAGTTGAGAGCAGAGAGGGAAGACACATGTATATTACAAACTATATAGTTATAGAATTATAGTATATAAAATAAGTTATGAAATAATACTTATAAAATAATTATGTTATCAGCAAAAATTAGAAATGTCTGTTGCAAGAACAACAAAGGACACTGTGCTGCATTGTCATGGTAATTCCAAATAAAGATTTTTTTTTTTTTTTTTATTACTTCGCCTTTCAAGTTCCAAATGCTACATTATGACATGCAGGTGCTCTGCCCTTCGGAGTGAGTAGGGCACAGGGATGCTCACTTCCAATTGGAATTCGCCCTAGATGTCTCCATAATCCAACACACCTGACAGTGTAAGGCCGTCTAATTCGATCCAATGGCGGTACTCGATTAGAGGTAAAGGTCTCACGCGTGTTC